TATTTTTGTAATACAGGTCTACTACTGAAAAGAATGGAATTCATTTATTGGGGATAAAACCCAAAAACCAAACTCACTGCCATGGATTCGGATCCCACTCATAGCGACCCCTCCTTGGGTTTCCGTGGTGGTATCACTACGGAAGTAGATTGCTCAACCTTCCTTCCGAGGAGTGGCTGATGGATTTGAACCACTAGCCTTCTGGTTAACAGTCAAATGCGTTAGGCACTGTAACTTCCCTTAATTGGGTTCAAGATTCTATAATTAAAATTGATTACAAACATTCATCTACTAATACTGATCTATAACAACATTTTATGATTTCATCTTTGAAAATGTTTTCACACTGATAGGTACTACCAAATACTGAAATCAGTTGACAAGTATGATGATCACTGAGCATATTTCTTGCTTGGAAAACATTTGCATAATTCAACTACAATATTCTTTTGATTATCCTGGCAGCTGCTTTCCTTGGGAATATTGTTCTGAATGTTGATAGCTGGGTAATGCAACATATTTAGAACAGCAATACTATCAGTACATAACAAATACAATGTTTTATTTTCTAATGTATACAAAATAATGACCATTCTACCTTGCCTTAATGACATATTTGAAGTTCACCTTTTTTTGGTTTGTTTTGAATGACGTGTATGGTGTGAGAGAACTGGATTTTCAAGTGCAAAAGAATGAAGTTGGACCTCTGTCTCACACCATACATAAAATTAATTTAAAATGGATCAAAAATTCATATATACATATATAAACAATTTAAATATAAAGGTATAACAGCTAAAATCATAAAACTCTTAGAAGAAAATACAGGGATGTAAACCTTCATGACCCTAGATTTGGCAATAGATTTATAAACTACATCAAAAGCATGAAAAATAAAATTTTAAAAAAAGGATAAATTCATCAAAACTAAAAATGTTTGTGCATCAAAAGGCATTATCAACAAGGTGAAAAGACAAACTACAGGAGAAAATTTCGCACATTATATATCTGATAAAAACTAATGTCCAGAATTAAAGGACTCCTAGAACTCAACCACAAAAAGACAAATAGCCCAATGAAAAAAATGAGCAAAGAACCTGAATAGACATTTTGAAGAAAGTATACAAGTTGCCAGGAAGTACATGAAAAATGCTCAACACCACTAGTCATTACAAAAATGCAAATTAAAACCACACTGAAATACCACTTCACCCCCACTATGATGGCCAGTATTTAAAAAAAAAATAAGGAAAATAACAAGTAACGGTGAGGGTGTGGAGAACTGGAACCCTCATCCTTCACTGATGAGAACACAGAATGGTACAGCTGTTGTGGCACAGTTTAGAGGTTCCTCACAAAGTCAGAATTTCCATTTGACCCAGTAATTTTAATCCTAGGTATATCCCCCAAAAGACTTGACAGCAGGAATGCAAACAGATTCTTCTACACCAATGTACATTGTAGCATTATTCACAATAGCCAAAAGGTGACAACCACCCAAAAGACCATCAATGAATAAACAAAATGTTGTATATACATACAATGAAATTATTATTCACCCATAAAACAATGTTCTGAGACATGGTTTGAC